CATTTCTTGGACCACATTAAAAAAACATAATTTATCAAGTTTTCAAGGATTAACCCTTTGGTTGAACTATGATTTTTTTTAAATCGGTCGACTTGGAGAGGTCCAACTTTCAAAAAAGTACTGAAGTGCGTTGGCAAGTTACATGAAAAGATGGCGTAAATACACTTAAACTGCGTAATTATTTTATATTTTAAAAAGAAATTTTTTTTGAACAGCAATTAGAAATTGGTACGCTATGAACTGTTGTGGTGATTATTGCTATTAGAACGCAACCTAATGATTGATGTATTTTATTTTTAATATATATTTCGTTAAATATACTTTTATTAGTGAACACATTTATAATCTATTTTTGATCTATTTATGATATTTTTTTATTAATTAAATTGATATTACCACTGGTTCATAACAGTTTTGAACTAGGAACATTTGGGTTGCAAGGCAGAGTTTCTACCACTTGCAACATGTACTCTCTATATTTTGTTTCACAATTATATTTTAATATCTGTAATTGTTTTCACTTTGGCTTTTTTGTTCAGATGTATGCTTTTCTTTCAATACGCGCAGTTTTTAATTAAGCTTTTGATGCTTCTGTTTTAATATCTGCGTTTGTTTCTACATAAGCTTTTTTATATAAATATTTCATTTATTATTATCTACAAGTTAATTGAAAATGCTGATATATTTGATATTTAGATTTAATTGTAAAGCAATGTGTATTCTCATATAATATTGTTTAATTGAATTATTTATGTTTGTATCTATACGAGAATGAGCTTATATAAATATGATTTGCATTTTAGATATAATTGCTAATATTGTTTGTTTGTTTGTTTGAGATGAATTTCAGTTTTCATATCCTTGAGTTTGTTAAATAATAATATGAAATATCTAAATCTGAACTCTGCGTAATTTGTATTAATTATTATTTGAATTTCGTTTGAAGTTTAATTTACGCGTATCTTGCTCATATTATATATCATGAAGTATTATTGCAATTTTGAAATTGCAATGATCTTTGCATTGTTAAGTGAAGAGAACTATTTCAAGTTCAAGAAAATGAGTAGTTTAGAAACAAGATGTAATACAAGATATTTTTAAATAATGTAATAACTTATAAATAATATTTTTAAATAATGATATCAAGCAGCAGTTATATCAATTTTTACATCAGTCTGAAGTGACTAATGCTTGATGTAAAATAAAGAAGCTAGGGGTTTGTAAATGTTTTGTTTTTTTAAACTAATATATCATTAATTACACTGATTACATTTTTACGAAATAAAGATGGATAGTTGCTGTAAGTATTTCTCTACCGAATCAAAAAAATATAATTCCTTAACTATTGTTCATTATTTCACAATTAATCTTCATCTAGAAAAATTGCTGTTTTACAACTGTCGTATTGTGGGCTAGTTGTAACATCCTTCGGAGCAAGTAGTAACGATAAAAAACGACAATAATACCTCTGACACATATTTGCTTATTTTTAGAAAAATTTACATGTTGCAAAGTATTTTTTTTTTTATAAATCAACGAAAACTACAATTAATACAAATAAAAGATATAGTATCTCCTGAAACACAATTTACATAATCCTATATCTTACAAACGCTAAATTCTATCTTATCTTCTTCACTTGAATCTGTATACAATTTTTGTATGTAACAACTAGCCCCGAAGTTTTGTTTCAACTAACCCCAGGTGTAATTTCCTTACATTGATGAAGATAACTATTTAAACAATTTAGCAATCACAACAATTGTTATACATTATCAAAGATTAGTAAATATGAAACGAAATAAGATATATAAAAATTAAAATTAGCCGATAGTAGTAACTCAAGCCGAAATTTTATGATCAATGAGTTCAATTTTTTATTACCTGTCATACCTGCACAGTTCTGTTCATTGCGTTAACCTGCGGGACAGTAGCTAGGTCAATATTATCCAGGACCGTTTATATGCCCAATCAAAACAAAAAAATATTTTAATGTCTTAAGATTCTATTGAAAAAAGCTTGTTACTAATTACTTCTATTACATATAGCCCCTAGCACCCTAGCACCTAAAAAAAATATATACTTATCATTATACACGTTTTCCGGACTGGTGCCCCATATAAAAAAAACTGAAATAAATCCTCCATCTATTGGAACTGGTAACTATTCAATGAAACTTATACTTACAAGTATTAATTATATCGTTTTCTCATATGAAGACGACAAATTTGGGTATGTTTAATGAAGCAAAGTAAATCAGTCGTTTTACACATAAACTACAACGTCACTCGTATGTTATGAAGCTGAGTTAGAAAGACCATGTTATCTAAGATCATTTTTTTGACATTTGTGCGGTTCCTTAAGATTAGGATTTTTACATGACAATCTGAGAAAAACGCCTGACTGCACAGCAACCACATGGCTTTTTGAATATTTAGTATGGAAAGTTTTTCATAACATAGCTTTGCCATAACATTTGTCTGTTGTGCGGTAAAATCGGTCCAACAATCTCAAGTGAAAATAGCAAAAGTGAATGGTCAACCGTTGGGTTGCCTTCTCGTGGAATACAAGGTTATGTTTTCAAATATACAGGACGAGTAGTGCTGATTATTGTTAAAATAAATAAAAAACTTCATTTTAGTTCATGCACTGTCAATCTATTCAAAAATTTGCTTAACGCAAATCGAAAATCATCTAGGTTTTTTACAACCTTCGTCTCCTTTCCAGGGCAGCCTGTCCAACGTAAAAAGAGCTTAATACAATACTGACAATGAGGTATACGGATATATTACAGCTGGGCAATTATTTACTTAACGTCGTGATAGTTCAAGATGAAAGCTTAGTCCTTATTTATCACATTCGCAAACGCATATATTTTACTGGACAGTTCCTAAGGTATGCGAAAGTCTAGGTCCATCATGTTGAAATACGTGCATCAGTAACCATTATAAATTTCTACGCCTTCAAAACTAAAATGATTGTGTTTAGTCTAGGCCATTTCACTGGACGTATATTTTACTATTTGATAATTTGATTTTGTTACCCGTTATAGGAGCGTGAAAGCCACAATTTGTGGTAGTAATATATAAATTTATCTAATGGTTGAAAATTGGATGTGAAAACCGTACTTGTAACGAAAATCTCTAAAAATATAGCGGCAATAAAATAACAACATGAATTTTTACTGCACCTTGTGCTTTTCCCTTAGATTGTAGACTTGAGTGGTCATAATTTTTTATATATTTTTAATATATACGATCTAAAATAGTTAGAATTATGTTTTGTAATTTACACATTTTAATGTGCGTCTACAACAAAAGTTTAAAAAAATCTCATATTATTGTCTGATTAAATTATTTACATTAAATTCACCAGTTTCGATTGTAGAACAAATCCATTCATTTTGCCAAAAAATTTTATCACTTTCTAAAGAGATAAAAAAAATAATTTTGAAGAACTTAGCATTTTTTATACAAAATATGCATTATGTGTTATAGATTAATGTTGAAAAATGCTATAAAATAGCAATGGAATATGATTATCAATTATGTACTGCTGGATACCTTTTACTTACAAATACAAGAATATTTTAATAAAATGTAGTGTTTAATTTTAAGCTACAACATATTTCTACAGTTATAGTTAGAAATACATATAATTTATGTGACCTACAAAAAAAGTTATTGAAATAGTTTTTTCAATGGTAATGCTTAATTTTTCCAGCAGATACGAAAAAGTTCTTATATCGATTATATTTCTGTTGAAGATATAAACCAAAACTTCAAAGTATAAAATTTGAATAAAAATTGACCTAATTTTATATTCTGGAATTTTTCATTGAGGTTTGAATCAAATCTATATACCAGAAACAAACATTGACAACTAGTGGTGTATGGCATCGTGCCTTAAGACAAATTGCTAGAACTTCCCTTACGGAAACAAAATGTTTTCAAATAGATTATTATAAATACTGTATTTAAAATAATATATTTAAAGTATATAAGTGAGCTTTAGAACTTTAGCCAGAATTAAAATTGAAATTTGAACTATTTTCGACATCCAATTTTTTTGTTAAATATTTTTTTTGTAAAAGCAATTGTTTTGTCAATACAAGCAGAAAGTTTGAATCATGAATCATTCAAATCGGATGCTGAGTTTTCTCAAAAACTGCCATTTTTTGTACAAATCAGAACAAATTGAATATTTTTTGGATCATTCAGATAGTCCGTTCTCTCAAAAACTCGATTTCTACTTTCTGCATTTTTTGCTCCGTATGTCCGTAAGGGCTGGACCTGCCTTTGCCAAAAACTAATCTGCACATCTTCCGATTTACCACGGCGTTTTATTGATAAATAGGAATCGAATGTTTATTGAACCATTCAAATCGGTTGATCCGTGCGCCCGAAAACGTGAACGAAAAAATGCGGACACACAAAACACACACACATCAATTTTTTCTGAGGTATGTCAAAATGATCAGAAACCTCTGAAACGTGAAAATATGCGAAAATTTTCATTTTCGATTTTCGGCCCATTACTATAACTTACTATAACTTACTATAACTTACTATAACTTACCTTACTTATTTTCGATTTACCGCCCCCTAAACTATTTCAAACATATCAGATGTCCATATTTTTTATCATTGGAAACAAATATTTACCTATTCAACAGTAAAATTAAGAAAACTTTCTGCAGGAATGCTTGGAAAATGTTGATTGCGAAAAAATTACCAAATTTTTCAGACATGCAAATACACATACATTGATTTTCCTAATTTTTACAACCGAGAAAACACAAAACCAGCAAATGAAATTTTCTGTCAAAAACACAAATTTCTTCTCAGAAAAGGATTCTACTCACTGGCAGTTGTTTGTGAATATTTATCATTATTGCTTTGTTTTGTAATCAACTCCTTTTCAATTTTTTTTTAAACTACTTAAATGTATGTTTTATTAATAAAATTAAGGATTTGATCACTATTTTATCTATCTCTTACCGTATCGTTTCGTTCGTCCTCTAAAACTCTCAATTGTTGATAAATTATCGAATTGACTTCTGCAACAATCCCTTCTGACCAGGCAGCATCTTCAGCTTTCAGTTGTCCATCATCTTCATAATATGAACGTTCTCTTCTACGTATATTATTGGTTTCGAAATTGTTGTAGCCATTTTTATGAATTTGATCTCCGTTAATTTTTCTCTGGTTGTTATTGTTGCTTTTGATGATGGTCTTCACTTTGCTGCTAATACGCTCAGGAGGATTAGGAGCTTTTCTTCGGTCAGATGTTTGAGTTGTTTCCCATTGTTCGAATACTTCGCTTAATTCGTCCTAAAAAATAGAATAAAAAAGTTATTAATTATGCAATATATACAAGTCGCAATAATAATAAAAAAGAGTGCGCGTAAGATTCACACGCGATTGAAGTAAAACTTATTTGCTACTGTACAAGATGGCATTTAAGTAAAAATAAATACGTCATACTCGTATAACAATTTTGAATAATGTTTATTAGTAATAAGGTAACACTTGTGATGCACATATTTATTAATGGCAACCATTATACACATTTATATAATGATAAATTATAAATAATATGTTTATAATAGCATTAAAAATATGTATAATATTTGAAAACAATGATGTAATTAAAGTCATACTTCAAATATGACATGATCGGTTTTGTCATTGTAATTAGCATTTAGAAATAAACCTTTATTAGAGAAATGAAGTAATTGCTGATTAATAACTTCTATAATATTCGTTCACACAATGAATTATGTTAAACAACGCCTAAAGAAATATTGTTTTCGCAAATTCACTCATGTAATTGTGTTTGAAGAACTTCATGTAATTAAAATTAACATACATTTATACAGACTGATGGTATATTTTTACTTTTTCGCTGGCGATATAATCTCAAACTTTGAACAGCTGTAATATCTGATTTGCCCAAAAAATATTTTCTATTTCAATAGCTTCAAAGATTTATAGAAACTACGAATAATATAGAATTATTTCAATAAACTTATGTTTCATACATGGCGCAAAAGCTGCATTTGTTTTATTATTTTCATTATAATTATTTACGGGGGACAGGGTAAAATATTCTTCTGATTCAGGCATTTTTCATTAAATCAAGATTTGTTCTACGATTTAACTTTAATATGTTTATCTATGCCGATTTCCTTGTCGATATCGGTACGCATACCACGTTGAGGCCGGCACGCATACAACGATAGATCTTTATTCACATACACGACGACTAATCATAATCGACCCGTATAGAAATGATATCATCGAGAGCGAATGACGAATCAGTGACACTCGTCTCTTATCTTAACGACTCTTATCTGCCGTAACGTACTTCCGTTGCATTTGTACGGATTTACATCCTAGTCTCGCCTAAAGAAGTTTTACTTCAATAATTGAGATTTAGCACTTCCGAAAAGTTTGACAATTTATTTAGTTCGACAATTTATTTATGTTGGAAATCAGAGCATCCTTCGAGAAAACGTTGAAGGAAGGCCAAATTTTGGATCACATACATAGGAACATGCTTTTTTGAATGTTGATGTCAAATAATTTCGTAAATATAATTATATTCCTCTGAGAAGCTAATGGAAGCCAGACTCTAATTAATATACTTGTTAACTTTATAATAAAATTTCTATTTTGTATGTAAACTTGTATGTAAATAAACAAAATTCTATTTTGTATGTAAATAATAATAAATAATTGTCTGCCCGCTTATTCAAAAAGTATTTTTTTTATATATATATATTTTCGAACAGCAATCAGAACCTTACGTGCTATGAGCTGTTAGGCTGAAACTTCTCCTTACTTCGTATTTATTTTAGATGGTAACCCAATGGTTAATCCATCCATATTTGATGATTTTGTTATTAGAATTAATCTAATAGAGCTGACATTTTATTGGTGCAGCAATGCCGGGCAAGGGCTATTTTTACTTGGAAACATATTGTTATTTATATTTTCAAGTGAAAATCGTTGTCACTGCTGCTTGACAACAGGCTGCTCGAAGTGGGTAACGAACCCGGGGCCTCTGAAACAAGTCCCGTCGCTTTTAATCGCTGACCTACGGGCGAGCCCTATTCAAAAAGTGATTCACATTTTTTTAAAATCTCAAAATAATCCGTGCTAAACTTAATTTTAAAAATTGATTCTTTTATGATTATGAAGTATTTCATCAACGATCTGTTAGTATCACATTTCAAACCAGTAGCATAAAAAATGCCCTGAATAAATTGTGTCGATCCAATTAGGTAATTATATGAAATTGGCTCTTTGCCTCATAATTCGATTGTGAAAGTCAAATGAAATTGCAAATACAATGTGTTTATTTATTGTTTATTTGTAAAGTCAGTCATAACGGTATGATGCTCAGGTGATTGTGTGCCTAATTTGTTTGCCAATAACGAGATTGTGAGATCTAATGAGAATCTGTCATTAATGTAAAATAAATTGAAGAGAAAATTATTCTGTGATGTGCAAATCGAAAGGTTTATTAACGAGTTAGCACATTCTATTTGTATTGTTTAAACAATTATATTCAGATAATATATTTTAAGCTATATCACGATATTGATTACATGTTCTGAATCATAGTAAATTGGATTTTTAAAATCGATACATATTTGATATAATCAATACTGCGGAACACTATGTATGTATTTTGTACTGACCAGTGAAATATTTTCTAAAGTTTTAAAAATGCATAAAAAACTGAACTGCACAAAATATATTATATCATACAAAAGATACTATATCATACAAAAATATTACTATGAAAATATATTAACTACAGGGTCTTATGACATCACACACACTTTTAGAAGAAAAGAACAAAATTTATAAAATTTACTTAATAGTTTTAAAATAGTTTACACTATTGTTCCGACGTATTTTCGTTTTATTATATTGGCCATGAAGGTGACAATCTTCATGGCATTGAGCTTTTACACGGAATGGTTGCTACCCCTGGTGGAGAGGGTAGCGAAGTGTTTTGATGGAACTAATTGTTCACTTCTAAAAGTAAAGTCCGCGAAACAACATGTATAATAATAATAAATAAATATATTTTCTTTCACTATAACTTAGCAAGCAATCAGTTACAAGAGTTAAATTATAACCCAACAACCTGAGTTAACGAAGGAGAGTTTTAAAAAATTTCATAACTACGTGGCGGTATACAACTATTAAGCGCAAAAAATTGTAAAAAAATCCTATTGCTAAAAGTCTATGAAGATAAAATTTGAAAATAGCTCGTTGAGACAATTCGAACATCATCAGACGTAATACTTATCAAAAAGACAATGCATTATTAAGAAAATATTTTGTTTATCAGCCTTCAAGCTAATTAGAATTTCGCGACTTAATATTGTTATAAAATTTTCCTCCGGGTTGAATGAACTTTATTCAAAGTAACATTATTGATTGATCATAATACAATGTCGCGAAAACCAAGTACAAAAAACATCATTGTGGAAATACTATTATGAGTATCGGATTACCCAACAACAAAAGTAAACTTCCTTCTTTTTTATACTTTGTAAGACCATTAAATGTTGTCACAATCTGAATACAATAATGTTTTCTAGCTTCTTGGGATAATAAAGGATATTATCTTGAGATCAAGCTATTGAATTGCGAATAGAGCTATTTTTAGCGTGCGCCAAAATAACAAATATTTTGATAGCATCGTTTGGTCGGGCAATGACATTTACAGCAAAGAATCAATTTTATAAATGTAAGAAGAATATTCAAACATGTTTATAAACTTGATCATCTACGTATATACGACAATAAATCAATTGTTCATAAGAAAAAAAATTCTAAAAGTAATACTATTTTTTATGAAATATATCATTTTTTCGATTGGGAACGTTTTGGAAATCTTGTATATCAAATCAGTTCAAATTGTGCTTTAATATATAGTGGTAAAACTATACCAAATTCAAAAGTCATCGTTAGCAAACGATTCTCAAAAATTTAAAGCTATATATTTCATATAGCCAGAACACATACACATATCAAGACTTTTTCCATACGACTATTCTTCATTTTGAAGAAAATTTATTCAAAAGACGTTTTGCTGAAGCTTGCTTCTTTCAACTACATAACAAAAAAGCAAAAAATTAACGCCATGATATTTATCATTTATGCGATATAACAAGCAGTTGAATTTCAGATTACTTTTCAAAGTTTATTAAGTAATAAAAATATGTGTTGGATAATTTTGCAATTAGCTTTACATAAGTTAAATTACTGCTAGATCTACGGATCACACATAGATTCTATTGAAAAAAAATAATGTCACAGTTCTATGTGAGGGTTGTATAACTATTCACAGAACTACGTCTATTCAAAAAATTCATAGTATTTTATATATATAAATTTGATCTAAATTATAGAAATAGTTTTTCAGCGCCATAACCGCCCTAAGAACGCAAAATAGTTAAAGAATGGTTAGGCTGATAGAAATTTAAGGTCTTACAGTAGCCTATACAACATCCATGCCTTAACCCAAAAGTAAATAATTTATGATGTTGCTTTAAAATAACTTCCAAATAATTTTGATTTACTACCATCATTACTCACATAAAAATCCAACAGCATTTATGTTACGTAGTTATAGAATTTTATTAAAACTCTCCTTCGATAATTCAGGTTGTTGGGTTATAATTTAACCCTCGTAGCTGTGAACTGTATTAAACAGTGATTTATTTTGTATTTGTATGTATTTGTTGCAGTTCTTATTACAATCACTGATTTGTCACTAAGTTATAATGAAAGAAAATATATTTATTGGTTATTTATTATACATGTTGTTTCGCGGACTTTACTTTTAGAAGTGGATAATTAGTTCCATCAAAACACTCCGCTACCCTCTCTTCCAAGGGGTAGCAACCATCCCGTGTAAAAGCTCAATGCCATGAAGGTTGTCACCAATATAATAAAACAAAAATACGTCCGAACGGACATGTCAAAACGACTGGTAACAATTAAAAAAATCAAATAGAATCTGGACTAAAATATCAAAATCCACAAGGAGAAGGTTTACTTTTCTGGGATTTTGTTGGAACTACGCATGGCGATAGAGTTGATAGTCAAACCGATGTCTTTAAAATATTATAGGCCTACGAAAGGGGATTAATTATAAATGTTAATTAAGGTTTAAAAGTTTGCGGGCAATACGTGCGCTTACTACAGTGTTCCATATTAACGTCTCGGTAGCTCATTGGATATATGTGAGATACTACAACTTTTTACGCTCGTGTTCAGAGATGATCGGGTAAAAATCCCATACC